GATGGGTGGGGGAGAAATGCTATCGTCTCTGTCTAGGTCCTCAGGTACAGCAGGCAGGGAGCTAGATGCCTGAATCCTACAAAGGAATCTAAGTAAGCCTTGGCCCCAGTTGCTAAGCACCCAAAAGGAGTAGGGGGAAAGCTCATGGTGATCAGGTGATTAACAGGTTGAGAGCCAGGGAGGAGCTAGAGGAACAACAGGGAACAGAGACCGTGTCCAGGAAGGTGAAATGCCTGTGCTTAATTTGGGGAAATTAAGTTTAGGCTGAGGTAGGGGAGATCCCAGCATGAATATGTCACCCTCCCCTGCTAGCTAGGTGACTGTCCCATTGATTAAACTCACCTCTTTCCCTACCCCCCTTCTGGAACATAGCACTACTGACCTAAAAAGAAATCCATTGCTGAAAGCCTTCCCCTGCTAAGGCCCTACCATCAGAAAGTAGACAAAGCACAAATCCCTAAGATGGCGTTAGCTCAGGGAGAAAGCATCAATAAACCCACGCGCAGGGCACCACCAGTGGCTCACGTGTCCCTGGAAAATGTCAGGGACAGCTCGATGGCCTCTGGCTAACGCTAATTGTAGCTACAGCCGTGCCGCCCTAACCCTGACTCATACGAAATCACCACAGGGTGAAAAATGCCCCAGAGGCCAAGATTCGGAAACACACATTTTTATAGCCAAACCCTGTCTAATTGTGTGCTTATGAATCTGGCTTCTGTTCTAGAAAACCTCCCTTGTCCACTACGTTTGCCTCTGCTCACCAAAAGAGGAAGAGCAGGCTAATTCAGGAGGCTGCTATCCTAACCTCAGACCTAGTCTATCTGACCCACCCAATAAGGTCTCACATGATATTTTTTTAAAGAAATAAATTTTGACAGTGTTGGGAGTTAAAGCCAGAGCCTCATGCATGCCAGGCGAGTGTTCTACCACTGAATACACTCAGTGTTCTAAAGGCATTATAATTAGTTACCAACATTTTAAAATTTGGAGAATGTATATGAAAAAAATCCGAATATCGGTGCTATTTTTTTTCCTTAAATCAGAAAATCTTAGTGTCAGCCTTCAGTGCAACCATAAACTGGTCATTCCTGGAGATGCCACTGTCACCACTGCCCCCTTTGATACGGCAACACTGAGACTGCACACCCATTTTTCTCACCTATAGCCCAACTCTCAGTTTACTCCATTTTACTTCTGCCAGGCTGCTGAGCTGGCTGAGTTCTCATCTGTCCTTACACTGACTCTGTCCCCGCTTCCCTTCCAAATGTAACCCGTATTTGGCTCTTTCTAAAGATCCACCTCCTAGTCAGAGCAGGATTTAACGGAGGGCACCGTAGGGATCTCAGTGGGCAGGCTACTGGGAGTGGGCCCTAGGCATCTGCTGAAGCTCCTGGTGTTACAGTGGGCAACTAATTAAGAAACTTGGCATCAGGGTTGAGATGTCATAGGCTAGCTTAGCAAAGGGCAAGCTCTCCAGTATGAATGTGTGTCAGTTCAGGCAGATGACATTCCCCAGGATGTGTGGGAGGACCTGCCATTACTGACTGTCCTTCCGGGTGTCATCTTTAAATTAATAATAATAATAATAAAACAAAATAAAAACACAACAACAAAAAAACTCATCACAAAAGAGCCTTTTAGAAACACCCAAGTAGGCACAATAGTGGTTCAGGTATCCTGTGGATTCTTGGGATAGTGGTGATAATTCCCCACTTGGCTTATGATCTCCAGCTTCACGGTCCCCATGGAGTTCTCTCATCTACAGTAAGGCTGGCTGATGTTACCTACCCCATCGATTCCGAACCAGATATGTCCAGGGCCACACGGTCTGGGTCTTAATGTGAATTCAGCCTGGCTGATGCCTCCTATGCTCAAGAGGACTAGGGAGGAGACCCTCCCCGCTTAGAGTTCTAGGCCCATTTGCATTATGGGGAGCAGAGCAGACACAAAAGGCCAGCATACTGCTTCTGTGTTCAATCTACTCAGGCCTCCCTGTGACCAGAGGGAAGAAGTTCCCAGTCACTGAGGGACATCAATTAACCCATCCTGGACCCCAGCGGGACTCACAACACATAGGCTGCCCCTCGCATTCTCAGTATATTTTCTTTTAGACAAGTGGCACCCCAACCCTTGCCCCTACCCTAACCCACTAAAAGTAGGCGATAGCCCTGTGGAATCTCAGAGTGAGGGGAGGAAAGACTAAACACAGTCCCCCCATTCTCAAATCGGCCCTCCCTCCTCCTGAGTGATAATACACCTCTTCAACAATCCTGGCGCCTCAGTACAGAGGCAGCAAGATGACCCCCCCCTCCCCGAGAACCCAGCATATAACGGAAAAGCAAGCGTGTGCCCTACAGTCCCGTGAGAATTCAGCAGCCTGGGAAAGAAACCATTACGCAGGTGACCTCAGCTACAGCCCAGAGGCCAGAACAAAAGAGCAACAGCGTCTTGATGGGGGGGGGCACACTATGACACGGCACAGGGCCTCGGAAGAGAGCTGTGGCCAATCATACTGGGAAGGCTGGTGCCGCAAGGGAAAGGCAAAGCTAAGGGTGTAGCCAGGGAGGGTCCTGCAGAGAACCCACTGGGGAATTTAAATGCATGAAGAACAGGGAGAAGTTTCTGAGAGCTGCCCAGGAGGCTGTGAGAGGGAGCTGGAGGACAGTGGCCGACCATCACCATAGAAACGTGAGCAGTACGGAGAAGAAAGGACAGGTCTGTGTTGGGTCCACAGACTTGCTCCCTGCTGGTTTCCAATTGTGGTGTGCCTGCAGTTACCAGGGCCGCTGCTCGGCTCATTTTCTCACTCCATCTGATTCCCTGTTGGCAAAGCAGTTGCTAAGACGTTTCTAGGTTCATACAGCACAAAACAGGAGGAGACACAAGGACAAGGATCTCCAAGTGACAGACCTACAGAACAACCATGGTTGCCCAAAGGACCGCCCAGCTCCCGCTGTGCCCAGAAGAATCATAGGACTGGTTGTGACCATCTGGACCACTGCTTCCTATCTCAAGGTCCAAAGTGACGTTGAGATCACACCAGACAGACAGTTCTGTTGGACGGACAGATTGTGGCAGTCCTCAGAACACCTTTTATTTGAGCAAACCTTGGAAATATTGCATACTTTACTGTAATTGCATGGGTTTCTAGGCATCTGTGACTTCATCTGATCCACGAGTGCTTCCTCCAAACAGAGATGCAAGGAACTCCTCTAGGGTGGACTCTGGAATCTTTTGGGTTCCTTTTTGAGCTGCAGAAGGAGCCATGGTGTGTAAAGGGTTTTCTTGGACTTCTCAGAAGCCTTTACATCCCCACCCCTCCTTGCCAGCTAAAGTCGCTGCAAAGAACACACACACACACACACACACACACACACACAACAATAAGTAAATGTTTTGTTCTAGTGGCCTTCCACTTCCAGCATGAATTTAATCGGCTCATTTGAGGTACTGGCCTTCCCTTCAGTGGAAGAATGGCAAGTCTGAGCCCAGGGGTGCAGAAAATCGTGATCTGGGTCTGGTTTAGAGACACACTGGCCCAGCTCAGTAGTCAGCAATCCTACCTTCGCACTGGAACAGGAGCCTGGCTATTAGAGCCGCACAGCCAGGGTCAAACAGAGCTTTAGCCATAAATAAACAGGTGGGGACCACTCAGGGTGAGCTCTGGATCCATACAGCAAGAATCACAACAAGCAGAAGGGTTCTCACTTGCAGAGATTTTTCTAGGTTCTTGTGGAATGTTTGAACCTGGAGGTATCTGGACTGTGTGTGAGGGAAAAATAAGGTCCATCAGAGAGAAGTAACTTTCTCAAAGACACAGAGAGCTAGCAACAGAGCCATCTGAGTTATAGACCTCCATCCTCCGGGCATGGGTCCTCATCCAGAGCGCAGATGGCCCATTCCCTGCTCTGGCTCAGGCTAAGGCACAGAGAGACACACAGCACTCCACTGACCTGAGCTGTCTCGTCAACAACCTGCTCTCTGCCCTTCTCCAAGTTTTCTCCCATCTCTCTTTGACAGAGCCCCAACAGCAGGAAACACTGACTCCCTAATCGAGATGGCTAGTAAGATCCAGTGACAGATCTTTGCAACTAACGTGTAGATAGAGTCCAGCCCTGCAGTCCAGAGCTCCTTGGCTCTGCAGAGAAGCTATACACATGGTCAGGGAAGGTCAGCTGCCCCAGAGGGTGGGGCCTCTGGGAATGCTGGTAGGAAAGAAGTCTACCTATATGATGTGGAGAAGACTAATAACCCATCTGTGAGGCAGTGGGCACTAGGCAAACAAACATTCCTTAAAATGTGACCAAGCCTGAACACATTTGAGCATGTTGGTGGTAGCTCTTTCATGTTCTAACTGCAGCGTGGTTGCATAGTCATAATTGAAGCCATAGACTTGCAAGCCCAAAAGCATTTATGGCCCAGCCCATTACAGAAAACTGCCAACCCTGCTTCAGTTGTCAATGGGTCTGTGTTCAAGACAAGGTACTGCCCCTTCCCACACGGGTAACCTTGGGGTGCCAGTTTTTATCTTGGTGCCCCAGACATCATAGACGCATGTATAGGAAAGCTCCAACTCAAGGCGTAGTCCCGGTTTAATCAGCAGTAGTTGTCAATCTCCCGAGGAGGAAGCCTAGGACATGTGACTTGAAGTCACAGGAGGCAGGAGGTGGGCTGCTGGGCAGAATAGAATTTCTTTCTTCTTGGGAAGTGTTCACAAACACATTTCTTAATTGTTTCTGTATGTGTTTGTTTATAATGTATATCGTTAGTGGATGCACGTGTGCACACACATGTGTGCATGTGCGAATGAATGCTTGCATGTGTGTGTTTTACCTTTGCACAGTTGGGTTGCTGGTATATTCTACCATGCCTTTCTTTTTTTACGTAAGTGCTGAGGAATCCAAATAGGTTCTCATACTCGCAAGGCAGGCATTTTACCAGCCGAGCCATCTTCCCAGATCTTATTATCTTTCTTAACTTTTATTTTTTTTCTTATCCAGATATTGGCTGACCAACAAAGTTCACATAAAAAGACCAACTACTGGCCTCTTGATGTACACCCTGGCCACACGCTTCTGCAATCAGATCTACCTCTATGGCTTCTGGCCCTTTCCACTGGATCAGAATCAGAACCCCGTCAAGTACCACTATTATGACAGCCTCAAGTACGGCTACACCTCCCAGGCCAGCCCCCACACCATGCCCTTGGAATTCAAGGCCCTCAAGAGCCTGCATGAGCAGGGAGCATTGAAACTGACGGTGGGCCAGTGTGACGGGGCTACGTAAGGATGGCAGCCCGTGGGACTCAGTGGCTCACTTTCCTGCCGGCTACACCAGAGGCAGATGGGAGTCAGGGCGGCACAAACAATAGAAGATGCAGGCTAGTGGTTTCCTTTGTTAGAGTGTAAAACAGTGACCAGAATATATATATCTATACCTGCATATATATATTGACCTGAGTATTTATAACTGTGTGGTGTTCATCTAGCGTTAGGCAGATAAGCCACAGGAAGAAGGTGTGGAGAACCCACCTGGACCAGATGGAGACTCAGTCCACCTTTGGGGGCAGAAGGACTTGACAGGCCAAGAAGCCAGTCCCATGACTTTGGATAACAACCCGCCTCCTGGGTTGGATGGATCTCTGGGCTCATGGATGGATGGATAGCCACCTGTTGTCAGCTTCCCCGAACCTCTGAGTGATGTGGATTCTGGGTAGCCCAGACCCAGAGAGGACAGTTTGAACCAGTCTAAAGAGGTGCGGTTCATGGAGGAGAGACTTGGAAAGTTCCGCTGGGCAAAGAGGCACAAGGAGACCAAACATCGGAGGTCACAACAGAGCTGAGGACCTTGTTCAGGAACTGGAGAGTGCAAGTGCCCAAACTACACATGGGCAGCGCCTGTGTCCCAGAGAGGCCTTCCCAGCTACGGAGACAGGCTGGAGGAAACCCACTCCACAGCCCCATACCCGGGTTAGACAAGGACCACCCAGGACTTAGTGGGGTGGATCAGCAGATGGCCCTATACAGGTAGAGTGTTATAAATCATGGTTTTAGAAGCTTGAGACCTTCCAGGGGTACTCCACCTCAGAAAAGAACAAAAGAGTGTCCAAAATATGGTCGTTTTATTAGAGTGTCCAAAATATGGTCGTTTTATTGGGTGTGCTTTAAAGCAACTGAGCCCCATGAGGAAGAAGTGGTCCTGGGACTTCAACTTCCCGGTTAGCCTGCATACCATCTTCCGAGACTGTCACACGGGAGAACTCTACTGTCCTGTCTACCGCCAGAAAGACACAGCGAATGCTTGAAAGGGCACAGTCACAATAGGTCTCATCCTATTCAAAACATACACGATGGTACGCGACGGCCTTTCTAGGCGCCATGTGGAGACCCAGACCGGGACACCTGGAGGACTGTGAAGCGCCTGGCTCTAGGTCTCTATGTCACTCTGTTTGCTGTTCACATCCTGCACTCTGAGGGTCCCCTGCAGTCAAACGGCCATGTCGGTGTCACCTTCTCATCCCTGTCCCATCTTGACAGTCGTACCTACCACACTAAGCTCCGCCATGGAGACTTTCAACTCTTCTGGGAGTTGAAATGTCCACTCTACACACCTGCCCACCCTCACCCCCTTACACAAGCAATGACTGCAGAGTTTTTGGCAAAAATCCTTCCCCCCCTCTATTTAGATTCACACTTAAGACTTGTTTTCCTTGTAAAAGCCCAAAGCCAAACACAGAAACACGGGACATAATCTCCAGGGGAAATCTGGGCTCACTGCCAGTAACTTAGGGGTTGGGCTTACAGGTCACACGCAGCAAAGCCTTATCCAGCTTGATTTGTTAGATGCAGTCCCTCGCCTGATAAATAACGGTTTTTTAAAACATGTTTGAAAGATAAGAAAGAAAAGTATTATCTGGAAGGTGAGCAGAGTAACGGAAAGTAATCCGGAGCCGTTCCCAAGCCTATGAGGCCTGACGTAATTAATCAACAGCCATTCAGAACACAACGTTTGCTCTAAATCAGTGGCTGATGGGAAAATGAGCAGAGACAATGGAGACACCCTAGAACCATTAACCGTGGTAACCCCGTGTACCGTCCTCCCGCCCCAAACCAGGATGACGATTGTACATCTCCACGTTCCTCTCTTCGTTCCTGGTGCAGTACAAAGCGTGTGATTTGGTTTGGGATTTGCATCATAAAATGAATATTTAAAAAAGCAACAGCCCTAACAGCCACCCAGGGAATTGAGTGGTTCAGCCTTCCCCATGAGCAGTGGAAATAATTAGCATCATATTTTACATGTCTCTGGAGCCTTTCATCTTAAAGATCTCAAAGTCTCTAGAAGACAGTTAATTTCTAAAGTTTGCGGTGCCCTGGAGGAACCGGTAAAATCACCAGCAGGGCCTTGCATTAGTAAAGCCCCCGGATGTCAGACTAGTCCATGTGGTGGCCCAGAGGTCAGGTTCTGGAGGTGACCCCGAGTTCCACCCAGCATCCTCTCTCTGCAGAGGAGGTAGAGGACCGGTTGTCTAATTGGATTTAAGCAGGCTGTAACCTAACGAGAAAAAGTCAGCAATCCCAGGACTACCCGGATATGCCATTTCCCTGACTCAGCAGGTCCTTGGCTATCAACACAATCCGGGCATAGAGCAGCAAGGACTCTATGAACCTTAGCGTCCCCTCTCCTTGTTCTCCTCCAGCCAAACTCACAGTCAGCAGCCAACTGCCCTTGACTGCCTGCTGAGAACTCACTTGGGGCTGGCTTTCACTGAAGTCTTTAGCGTAGGCTGGCTGACCTTGGCTGTTCCCCAAGAGGCACAGCCTGCCCTCTTAACTTGATTGCTGCCACTGCGGTCAATCCTAACATCCCATCAGCCTCAGCCGGTCCCCTCTACTTTTGGCTGTCAGTCACCTCCTCAGTCCACCCACCTAAGCCTGCCGTTTACTTTGAGCCCCCAGTGACTTCACCCTTAACCTCTGCTGTCACCAAATTTAAAAAAAAAAAAAAACTAAGCATTTGACATGAGACCTTTCCTCGGACTCTCTTGGCCTCTCCTTCCCCATTTATAACCTTAATTCTCCCATTTCTGAGTGAGGGAGGTCCCTCTTCTGGCCAGGGACTTTCCCCGCTCATACCCTCAGTCTCTCCACCAGCTCTCTTGCATCCGGTCTGATTCCTAAAGCCTCTTCACTTAATTCCTGCACTATGAGACCTTGGCAGGGTCTCCAGGCCCTATGGCCACCAATCCCCCCTGACCACACCTTAGTGTTCCCTCCTAGCCCACTCCTGGGACCAACATCTCAGTGCTAACTCGAAAGGCCACTCTTACTGCAAAGTTCTCCCGTGGATTCTCCTGGGCAAGATACTATGTTCTTAAGATTTTACCCCTTTCCCGATCCCAACCTCCATGACCATTTATTTATATATTTATTTATGTATTTATGAGTTATTTATTGGCACTCCTACCTTGAGCTGAGAAAGGACCCAAGGACGATCTGCCCATTTCCCCCTCCCTTCTCCCTGTACCACAAAGTAGCCATAAAGTAGCCATTCCTTCAGATAAGATCCTCCCCGCGGGCCCATGCCCCCTGCATGGGCAGTTCCACGCCTCCCTTCAGACCTAGCTACCACCACCCAAAGACCGCCTCCCACTCCACTCCCCTTAGCCGCTTAGCTCCACCGGACGCTCTAGCCCCCGGATGACACGCTGCTTGGCAAACATACTGTCTGCTCTGACATCTTGAATTCAACACATCTGAAGCTCAGTAGACCATCTTCCCTGCACGACCCCTTATCTTCCCACCAGAACACCAATGACTCTTTCAACATCATCTGGGACCCTAAGGTGACCACTGACTCTTCCGTGCATTCCGTCATTCCGTCATTCCGCTTTCCAATTAGTCCCGACCTCACTTCTACTCGTCCCTTGGACCCCTTAGTAGTGCTCTCCTCTCCCAGACCTCCCCGAGCATGCGCAATGGTCAGTCCCTGCAGCCCTTGACAAACCTGCGATAAGATCCCCTGGCCCACACAAATGTGCCCGTCTTTATCCTGACATTACAGAGCACCCAATCAGGTCCCTTCATGCCCTGCACTGGCCAATCCAGAAGAGTTGTCATTACTGGAAAAGGGGCCATGCTTCCTGGCTCTGTGCCTTTGGCCTTAGAGTCCTCGCCTTCTGGATCACTCTTGAGTTCCTCCCGAGGCCCCTGCAGAGACCGAATCCTCCATGAAGCCCTTCCTGACCCACCGAGGCTGGGCTCTCTCCCTCCACGGAACCACCACAGCACTTTATTCGTCCCTTTCCCATGGCACTTACCATGCTCTGCCTTGTATTATAGCTACTTGTGCACTTGTCCGAGGCCTGTTCTTAGACTGGAAGCTTGCCAGGGGCGGGCTCTGTTTTGTTCATCTGTATCCATCACAGCGCTAGGCGTGGTGCATAGCACACAATGGTTGCTCAATAAATGTTTGTTGGATTAAGTCCTGGGTGTCTAGAGAGGTCTTTGTAGTGAGCGAAGCCCGAAGCCGTTTTTTGCGCGTATCATATCACAAGAACCTTCCAAAAAGTCACGTGGGTTGGCCGTAAGCAGAATAAGTAGGTCATTAAACTGAGGCAGAGGCCTACATGGAATTTTCACCACAGTTCTGCCCTCACTGTGGGGCTTTGTCTAGAAGTCCATATGGTTGGAGCACTCATTGTAAAACTAAAAATTGACTTTAGCTGGATGTGGCCTTGGTCTTCCCTGGGCGAAGCTTAGTAAGAACGCCAGCACACGTGCCCATCAACACGGGCTGATTTTCACTCTTTCTGGGGAGGACAAACACCATTTGGGTTTTCTCAGACCCCGGGGGCGTTGAGATGTGGGACCTCATTCATCATTCCCACAGCCGTGGTTGCAGTGTGGGAAACCATCCATCCAGATGGCAGTGAAGCCAATGGCTCCAAGAGGCTGCTGTTTGATAAATCTCTTCAGGCCTAATTAAGGCTTCCCTTCCAGAATGGAACAGAGACGTTTAATGATGCCAGTCTGACGGGACTCCAGACATGAATGCTGCCTCATAAACGCCCTTAACCAACAGCCCACCCCCACCCACCGTCTCTCATCAGCCCTCCGGATGCCATCTTGGCCATCTCCATCCCCGGACTTTCACCTCCCTTCTGCTACTCTTCTTCAGACTTGGGGGGTGCGGGTGGAGAGGGGTCACACAGGTCTGTTTCCTGAATGAGCAAGCAGCCACCCCCCTGAGGTAATAGCTAATGTCTCTGTCTCTGTAGTAACCATTCCCTGGCTCTGAGTGTCAGCTTTTTATTATCGGATACCTGAACCCTAACCGAGGTGTTGAGAGATGGCAGTGAGGAAAAGAGGAGGCCAAGCACTTAATACCATCCCTTAGGGAGGAAAAAAAAATGGTTTCTGTTCTGGTGGTGGGCTGTTCACAACAATGGGAGGTTTCCATGGTTACCGTCTAGCATCAGTGTTAGTCGCCTTTGGGCATTATAAGGACAGTTGCATTTTTATTCTTAGCGGTCCAGGTGGTGGGGAATCTTCATTCTTGGTGCATAGACAGCCTCTAGGCAGGGCTTTGTCTGGGTATTCTAGTCACCTTCAGCCAAAGCCCAGGAGAGTCACCCAACCAGGCACGTAAGGACCTTTGTGGCCTGTCTCATCCCGTCTTCCTGAGCCATTACACCTTCCCATGCAAGAAACCTAGCAGGGAAATGGGCCTCCAAGAACTGTCAAGAAAGATCCAAAGGCTTCAGATAATAAAAAGGCTTCTACGGAGCTGGTGCAGAACCAGGTAGGAGCAGTCAATCATCAGGGAATTGTTAGAAAACAAAGACCCAGTGAGTAGGAAGAGGCAAGCAGGTTCTCAGACAACAGACAGCAATGATGAGTCAAGTCAAGGCCGGTGCAAGAAAACACCCTTCAATGCGGCTCCCTTTGCTTAGGTGAGGCTGTAACAGTGAAGCTGCTAAACAGCCGGTGCAGGGTTCGCTGTTCATCAGAACTGGGCCACTGTGACTTAGAGACGACACCTAAGGATTCCTTGGTGGTGGTGGTGGTGTGGAAATACAAATTCAGGATGCACTAGATAGGCAGATGACGTGAGGAAGA